AGAGAGAGAGAGAGAGGCCTTCCAAACGTTTTAACCCTGTTTACAGAAAATGGGAATTTGCATGATGAGAATAACTCCGGCCGGAGTGCGAATTTTTACTGCGCTTGGCACGGGGCTCGGAAAAAGCGGCTGCATAGCCAATTACTGGAATTTTTAAACACAAATAATATTTTATGGGATCAGTGGGTTGGCTCAGGGCCGCCGCACCCGGCTCAGCTCCTCCGCCTACAAACAAGCTCGGATTGTGCAGCGAGTCAGCATGCCAGGCCTCGGGCCAGCCTGGGGGGCACCGTGGGCCTGCGGGCATGGGAGGTGGCGGCGGGGTGGTGGTGGTGGAGTAGGGTGTGTGTCCCGGGTGCGGGCAGGTGCAGCGCTGGGCTCGAGCCTCCCCGCCGGCAGGGGGCGACCGGGAGTCTCAGTCCAGGGTTAGTGTGCGGGGCACCCGGCTCACCTGCAGCGCCGAGCTGGGAAGCGCGCCGCGCGATGGGCTGTGCCCTGTGCAGAGCTGCCCCGCCTGGCATGGCCCTGGGCGCCACAACGCCTCCGGAAGGCCGGTTTCCCAGAACGGCCGTAGGACGCCAGGGAGTCTTCACCTCCCCCAAAGGCCACTCGGATTTGTTCTACAGCCTGCTGCGTCCCACCGGGGTCCCAACGCAGGGCCAAGGGCACAGCTAGGCGCATCGGAAGCTCTGTCTTTATAGGGATCCCTTTTGCTCCTATTCTTGGAGATCTCCAAACCTGGCCAAGGGCCCAAGGGAGGTGTCCCCCAGCTGGAGTCTTGGTTAGCTCGCCCCCGCCAACCGAGCTCGCCCAGCACGCACAGGGTTAAGCAGGAGCAGGTGTGTAGCCAGATGCTGCGGCCGGTCCCCTCCCCCGCGGCCCGGTCGGCGTCCTCCTCCTCCGCCCACCCGCTCTGAACCCAACAGTCCCAAATAAAAGTGCTATTGTTGCCGGGCCTTCCCCCACCCCCGTCTGTGCCTCGCCACCTGGAGCAGAGCCCGGTCTCTCTTCACCTGCCCCGGGGCTGGCCGGGGGAGGGGGGAAGTGGGGCCTCGGAGCGGGGACTTCCGCTCTCCCTGCTCCTCCTCCTCCAAGGCCCCTGTCACTGACCCCGGAGTCCCTGGGGCAGGGCAGACACCGTGGCTTTGTGCTGGGGCTCCTTTCGGGCCTGACGGATCTTCTCTGGCCTTTCCCTCCCTCTAATCCCCCCATTCTCAATGGCTAGAGAGGTGGCGTGCTTTTCAAAGCTGGGAGGACGCAAGGCCTGATGTCGGGAGTCCAGGACAGTGCCGCGTTGGTCAAGAACAGCTGTTGCTTTTTCTTGAATCATTTGTCCGTCTGTAAGACAGGAAGGCAGGCAAGAGCGATTCTTTTTTTTTTTTTTTTTTTAAACAGAAAAGGAAACCGAGACACCTCGGAGAGGAAGAGCTCAAACACAGGGCTGGTAAAGGTGGAACTGAAGTTCCCCAACTCCTCTGGCACCATGGGGGTCTCCAGTGTTGCTAGGATAGCCAAGAAGTTGGGAACCCCAGACACTTGAGAGTCTGGCACAGCTCCCGGGTTCACTGTGGGGCCTTGGGCAGGTTACCCCTCTCCTCGATTTCAGAATCGAGGAGAGGGGACTTCCGCGGCTCCCCAGTTCTCATACAGCCTCTTGGAATCCAAGGGACTGGTTGCCACCCAGCAGATCTGGGAGACCCAGCCTGCGACTGCATGAGAGGGTTCGGCAACCTCGGCCTATCAAGACGATTCTTCCTTGTCCTTTCTAGCCAGCTCCAGGAGGTTAATCAGCGAGGTAAATGGCTCTAGTCAAGGAAACGAGTCAAGACGGTTGAAGCGACAGAGAAGAAACCCAGACCTCAAGGAGATCGCCCTCATCCCAAGCAGCCACAGCTTCGCCCGCGAGGAAGGCACACGGAGCCCTGGGCCGCTCCACTCCACCCAAGTTCCCGCAAATAACCCGCCCGCCCGCTGCAGGCGCAGGCCTAGTGTGTGAGCTCCAGCAGCAGCGAGCAGACCTGGCGCGGAGTTACCGTATTTCCTCTTTTGCGCCCTAACTTTCGAGCGCGTAAATCCTCCTTGTCCATTGTGCGTGAGAGCATGCTTTCTCTTTACCGCGGAAAGAGTTGCGAGCCTGGAGAACCGAGTTTTTCGGCTTTGTTCTTTTGGCTCTGCCATTTATCTCTCCTACTCTCCGCTCCGAAGACCCAACAATCCAGTTTCCTGTTACTACCTGAACACCCAGTGGCATACCAGACTCCATTCTCTCAACTTCAAACACCCGATCGCCAGACTTACCTTCCTCCTTACCGGGCAATCTGTGAGTCCCTCTTTAACCTCAGGAAAGGGCAAGCGCTCCTTCCCTGTCTCCAGAAGACGACCTTGGGCTCCTTACCAGCTCTCTTCCTTTTGCCACCACGCAGCGCCTTAACAAACACTCTTTATTTTGCCTCCAGAATAAGTCCAGAGCCTGCCGTTCCCCATGTAGGTCACTGTTCCAAGCCACCATATTTCTTTTCTTCCTTTCTTCTCCCTCTCTTAAAAAAGGCTGTATGTAGCTGGGCGGTGGTGGCGCACGCCTTTAATCCCAGCACTCGGGAGGCAGAGCCAG